ATTATGGTTTTGGACAACTTGACAGAGAGGTCTGTTGGTATGTTGGCAGCAGATCTCTGTGCTTTCCTGGATCAAGCATCCTGGGATCTTAAACAACAGTTAGAGCAACATTGCATAAAGATGGGATAGAAGAGTCAATCAATCCTAAAAGCAGGGGTGTCCTAAAGGCAGGGACTTAACAGAGGGATGGAAGTTATTTAATAGTGAAAATGGTTCATGGCATGTATGATATTTTCAAGACTTCATTGAGGGACTGTGAATGGAATGTTGTGATAAGAAACCATTTTTTTTTTTTTTTTTTTTTAGACAGAGTCTTGCTCTGTTGCCCAGGCTGGAGTACAGTGGCGTGATCTCGGCTCACTGCAACCTCTACCTCCCTGATTCAAGCAATTCCCCTGCCTCAGCCTCCCGAGTAGCCAGGATTCCAGGCATGCACCATCATACCTGGCTATTTTTTTTTTTTTTTTTTTGCATTTTTAGTAGGGATGGGGTTTCACCATGTTGGTCAGGCTGGTCTTGAACTCCTGACCTCGTGATCCGCCTACCTCAGCCTCCCAAAGTGCTGGGATTACAGGCATGAGCCACCATGCCTGGCAGATAAGAAAATATTCTAAGAATGATTTCCATGGAAGGGAATGGAATTCCATAAAATGGTAACCATTCTAAGAATCTCTGCAGAATTCAGGAGAAAGAGGGAGGGAAATTTGCCCTCTCCCTTGATAACATTTATTGTTCATATATGTTCACTTGCTAGGAGATGGGATAGAAATAAATAAGATCCAACTCCTGCTCTCAACGACACACAACCTGGAAGCAAATGAACAAAGGCCAATGCACCTTTTCCCAGGGGACACTCGGGAGTCAAAAACAAAATTTGCATGAGTTCTCAAAGTTATCCTAGCCCTTCTCTAAATATAAGGAGGAGGAGGAGGAGGAGGGAAGAGGACATGTCATTTTTTCTTATCATTCTGTGTGACAGTCCTATTTGGTTGTCAGCAGCGTCCAAAAGCAGCAGTGAGCCTAGTGCTTGTTCTATCCCTTAACCTAAGGTGCCGGTAGCAAGTGCCTAGCAAATAAATATATATGAACAATGAATGAAGGTTTTTTACTCTTCATTCCTCATTTCAACCCATCTTCATTATTGCTGGATAAAAAATTACTCAAAGCTTAAGAGTTTAAAACTTATTAGCTTAGTAATTTAAACAGCTATAAAAATTATCTCAGTTTCTGTGTATCAGGAATTCAGGAGTGGCTTAGTTAGGTGGTTCTGGCTCAGGGCATTAAGATGTTGTAGTCAAGAAGTCTACCAGGGCTGCAGTCATCTGAAGGCTTCAGTGGGACTAAGGGAGGTTCTTTCAGCATGGATCATTCACATAGCTAGTAAGTTGATGCTGGCTATTGTCAGGAAGCTTCAATTTCTCACCATGAAGACCTGCTTGAGTGTCTTTATGATGTAGTGGCTGACGTCCACCAGAGCAAGTGATTCAAGAGGGCAAGACAGAAGACACCACAACGCCTTTCATCACTTAGTCTCAAGTGACACTCTGTCATAGTCTGTTTGGGCTGCTATAACAAAATACCTTAGACTGGGCGATTTATAAACAACAGAGATATGTTACTCACAGTTCTAGAGACTAAGCAGTCCGAGATCAAAACACCATCAGATGTGATCTAACAGTAATGAGAATAAAAATATTTTTTAAAAAAATTACCAAGAGATTCAGTGTCTGGTAAAAGCCCCATTCCTCATGAATGGAGCCTTCTTGCTGCATCTTCCCATGGTGTAAGGGACTAACAGGCTCTATCAGGCCTCTTTTACAAAGGCTCTAATCCCATTTAGAAGAGCTCCACTTTCAAGACCTACTCACCTCTCGAAGGCCTCATCTCTTAATATGATCACTTTGAAGGTGAAGATTTCAACATATTAATTTAAGAAGGACACAAATATTCAGACCATAGCACACTCCATCATTTCCATAATATCCTATCAGTTACTTAGATCAGCCTCAAGGATATGAATACCAGAGATAAGACTCATTGGAGGCCATCTTCTTGGAGCTGGCTACCACATCACCACAACATGCAAAGCAATGACATCTGGATTTTTCTTTTTTCTTTTTTTTTTGATGGAGTCTCACTCTGTCGCCAGGCTGGAGTGCAGTGGCGAGATCTCAGCTCATCACAACCTCGGCTTCCCAGGTTCAAGGGATTCCCCTGCCTCAGCCTCCTGAGTAGCTGGGACTACAGGCACGTGCCACCACACCTGGCTAATTTTTGGTATTTTAGTAGAGATGGGATTTCACCATGTTGGCCAGGATGGTCTCCATCGCCTGACTTCATGATCTGCCTGCCTCGGCCTCCCAAAGTGTTGGGTTTACAGGCATGAGCCACTGCACCCAGCCCTGACATCTGGATTTTTCTAAACAACTTTTATTTCATCAAAGTATTCCTTACTTTGTGTAGTAAGCAGCTGCCATTGACTAAGACACAATATCTAATCTAATTTTCCAACTTCCCCATTAAATATATATATACACACACACACTATATCTATCTAACCATCTATTATCTATTCTATCTATCTATCTATCTGTCTGTCTTCTATCTGTTTACCAATAGATAAATGAACAGAAGAAATTACTTCAACAAACTATTAATGAGTAAAGCTGTTCACTTTCCAGCTCCAAGTTAACTTGCCTTTTTAAGACCTTAAAAGGCTTAGGAGTCAAAGGACCACAGGGAAAGGCTTGGACTTCCCATTCTTTTATTGAAATGTCGGAGAGTCAATGTCAAAGATATTGTCTCTAAGTTCCAAACCTTCCCTTCCCAAGCATTCTCCTGCCCAATCCACCTTTGCAGCTTCACATCCCTGTCTTTGTCTTTTCCTCCATCCAGGCCTCAGCCTGTAAATCTATAAAGGTGCCCAGGTCCTATCAGCTTCTTGTGCATCTTTTGCTTTCACTCCAGCAGAGTAACAGCATGCTACCTGTGCCAAGGCAATCACTAAAAGGAAAGGATTTAATGCTGTCAAAAAGCTTATGCCAGCTTAAGCTGCAAGAAGAGGAAATGGGTCAAGTATGATGAAAGTGACCATGTTGGTCAGACCTCTATGAGAGCCTAGAGGGATTTCTTAGCAGCGTAGTACTTTTAAAGGAATCTAAACAAACCAGCATCTGGAAAGAAGAGAGTAACCGCAGCAATCGGGGAACAATTGTAGAATCTCGGGCCATTTCATTAGGAAAAGAGAGGTCACCAGGGAGCTTAACTTCAGTCATCAGACAGGCTTATTCTGTGTACCCAGTGGGCAAGTACAGTCAATGGATGAAAATTCAACCTATGGATGCACACAGGAAGTTCTTCCTTAACATGATTTGTCAGAAACTGCCCAAAATTCTGAAGAGCTGCCTCAAGGTAGTGGAAATTTTTTTTAATCAGGAAGGGGCCGAATAAAGCCATCAAGGATTCTGTGTCAGAAGGTGGGAGATACCCAGGACACAGGTTGAAGTAGGTGACCTCTGAGACCACAGTTCTAAGCTGTTGAAACTTCAGTCGCTGCTGAATACTGAAATGGTATTTGCACGCTTTAGTCTACATCAAGAATTCATCTTACCCAGTTTTAATGGGACCAAGACCATTAATGAAATGGCCCTAGATTCTACAATTGTTCCCTGATTGCTGCGGTTACTCTCTTCTTTCCAGATGCTGGTTTGTTTAGATTCCTTTAAAAGTACTACGCTGCTAAGAAATCCCTCTAGGCTCTTTCTCGTAGATAATTCTTAACGGAATAAAAGCTACAACTTGAAACCAATTCCCTTTAAAATGTGGACAGTTGGCCATCTCCATGTCTATGATGGGTAGTTAAGCACTGAACTAATGCTTTTTAATGGAAGAGCCACCCTAAAATTCCTGTATATGTATAATGGATTATTAAATCAGTATAGGACTAACAACTGCTTCCCATGTAAACGGGTACACCCTGATAATGGTATAGCCCTTCATACAGTGTTCCAAGACAGATTTAACTCACTGCAGGTCCACAGCAACCTGTAAGATAAACTCATTAGTTATGATCTCCCACTTTGCAAAGGAGGGTACGGAGGAAGAAGAAACTAAGATAACTTAGTTTAGGACATCACAACTGGCTGGAGCTGGGCTGAACACAAGTTCATTGTTTTTTCCATTAATCTATGCTGCTTTTTCTCTACTTGGCTCCTTTTCTACATTAAACAAAGAAAACAAAAAACTGTGGTCACAGAGTGGTATATATGTGTGAGAGACAGAGACAGAGGGATAGAAAGAGAGAGACTAAGTGAAAGAAAAAGGAGAGGGACTGAGAGAGATTCAGATAAAATGAGGCACAAGTAATGGGCTAGTCAATATACTTCTCATCTATCTGAGTGCCTATTTCCATCAAAATTATCTCCATTGTTAAAGGCACTCAAATAGATGAGAAGTATATGCATATCCACATCCTGGTGATATGGTATAACCAGGTATAAACGAGTTGGTTTTTTGTTTTGGAGTTTTTTGTTTTGTGGATTTTTTTAATGCAAAGGTATATGTTTAAAATACCTTGTAGCTTCCTTCTCTCCTTCATTTACCCAGACAAGTATCCTTGAGTATAAAAGAGGTTTTCTAGATGCATGGGACATCCAAACTGGAAGTGCCCATCTACTCCCATCCCCATGTTTGATAAACATGGGAAGTAAGCTCCAGAAGAGCTCCCAGACAGCATCAGCACACAATTTTCAAAGGAGTTTTCCCTGATAGCAAAAAGTTACTGACATTTCCAGCACAATCCTTCTTTCTTTTAGAGTAGGAGCTAGGGGTAAGGAGAAATTAGTAATCTTTACTAAAGATAAATTTCTAAGTCAACCAAATTTGCTTTTCTGCTTTTGAAAAACTTGTGGTATTGACAGAACCATAGTATCCCATATGAAAATCCTCAGGATTATACTAAAATCTCCTTACATGAAACAACCTCTTCACCCCACCTCCTGCCAGGAGGATTACCATTGTCTATTCAAAGAAGGCTTTGGGTAGGGCCCCTCAGTCAGATTATCCTTATGTAGGTGGAGAACATAAACTTGGAAACTTAATTGGAATTTGAAGAAATGCTATTAGAATTTTAGGAAGTCATTCGTATTCCATTTCTGAGACGTGACCTGGATAGAATTCTGGTAAGTGGAAAAGCCAAAGGATTCTTTATAATTAGATGTGGGTTTTGTCCAGTGACCAATCTCATTTAGAATGGAAAACTGCCACAGCCTTCCGAAACAAAGACTTGTGTGCCAGTCTTTCATTTTTGGGAAGTGACACTCACTAGGGCTGTTATTTTCCTGTTCCTCATGTTGTATAACCCTAAATTCCTTTACTATTTCCTTCTATTTTACACTCACAAGAATGGTAATGATTATGAATCATTTAAATCTTGCTTTCTATTTAAATTTTCTTTAAATTAAATTAATTTCCTCCCAGGGCAATTTTATCAGTTGAGATTAAACATTTGTGATTAAAACATCCTCTGCCTTTTATAAATAATTTGGGCAATGGTTGAAGAAACTTTTCCAAATACGCTTTTTTAAAAATGCTGCAAAATTTTCCCAAGTTGGATATCATTTCAAATTGCAAATTACCACGTGAATAAACAAAGCCAAGCTCAAAGGGAGTAGGAGACAGTATAATAACAACAATAAGTCAATAATTTAAAGGGAATGGGGCATTACCAATTACTAATGAAGATGAATAAAGGAATTTAAGAATAAGAAAGAAGCAAACATTTAATAAGAAATGCTACCATAATAATTTGGAGAAGCTTGGGTTCAAGAGAGCAGAACAAAGCTGTATTTTTATTCTTTTTTTTTTTTTCTCAGAAGAACACTCCAAAAATATTAGAACAAAGAGAAACTTGTTCCTCCAACCTTAAAAAAAGAAGAGTGGCTGAGTGCCATGGCTCACGCCTGTAATCCCAGCACTTTGGGAGGCTGAGGTGGGTGGATTGCTTAAAGTTAGGAGTTCGAGACCAGCCTGACCAATGTGGTGAAACCCTGTCTCTACTAAAAATACAAAAATTAGCCAGGCATGGTGGTGTGCCTATAATCCCAGCTACTCAGGAGACTAAGGCAGGAGAATCATTTGAATCCGGGAGGCAGAGATTTCAGTGAGCCAAGATGGCATCACTGCACTCCAGCCTGGGCGACAGAGTAAGACTCCATCTCAAAAAAAAAAAAAAAAAGAAGAAGCTTGATTAGTAACCCCCAACAAAACAGAAAGTAGATGGAGAATTGGTCTAATCCAAGTGCCTGGGCTGGGGGTGGGGCGAATGGAAAATGCAAGTACCAAAAAAAGCAAGTGGGAGGGAAATCATATACATAATACAAATGTGGAAACATGCTGATTCTGCATGATGAATACAAGGTTTTCTGTTCTATTTATTCCAGATATGTTTGTGAACATTTGAAATATTTCTTTTTTTTTCCAGGAACACGTGCACTTTATTGAACACAATTGTAGAAAAGTGTGTGAGGGTAAAGGGCTGATACAGGATCAGCTGGGGGCAGGGCAAGGAATGGAAGCTGGAGTACGTGGGAGACAGGTCACGGGCAGAGCCCCTGGACAGGATGATTCCTCTGATCTACTGATAGGCTTGCAGAATCAGTATTGGGATGATGATCAGCAGAATGGTCATGATAATACCCAAAATCAGGGCCCAGATGTTCAGGCACTTGGCGGTGGAGGTGTAGGCCCGGGCCCCGGTCAGGTCGCCAACCATCTTCCTGTCCCTAGACTTCACGGAGTGAGAAAACGCTATGAAGCCCAGGAAGCAGGAGTTCATGAAGAGGGTGTTGAACAGGGACCAGACGACGTGGTCGGGCACGGAGGTCTCACTTTGGATGTGGATCACGGTGGATGTCAGGGGCACAGGGCTGTGGGGTGCCCCCAGCGCAGCCACCTCATATTCCTCCTTCAGCATCTCATAGTTCGGGGGACGGTCATTGCTGGAGGGAGTGAAGAAGATTTGGACGGTGTGGTTCATGGTGTCCAGGGAAGACTGGCCATGGGCGGGTTGCTGGGATGCTTCCGAAATATTTCTTAATAAAATGTTTAAACCTTTAAATGATCAGATAGACTTGCCTTAAGCAGTTTAAGAAATTGAGACTCCAGATACCATTGAAGATGGCATATAGCTAGGTATGGTGAGGTGAGAGCCAAAAACAAGGAAATTGTTAAATACCTAAAGAAGAAGTTAGATATCCAGGTTCCCACATATTCAGACAGGTGACCATCTTGCCTCACTCCTCCAAAAGGCAAGAACTCTATTTACTGGAGAACAAGAGAAGCTGTAGATTTGGAACCACTAGACACAGAGGAAGATAGTGGTGTTTGTAGTACAGGAAACTAAGGGAAAATCAGCATATTGAACAGAGATAACTCTCTCACATCCACCTCTTTCTTCCTGCTAGCTATAACTGGGAGATACCTTTCAGACAGAAAAATGGAATTGCCTCAGAAAAAAAGATCAATAGATATGTATTGTTGGGAGGCTTACAGAAAAAGGCTAAGCCATCAGAAAAATGCAAATCAAAACCAGAGTGAGATAGATTTCACTAGAATGGTTCTAATCAAAAAGATGTATCTGTTAAGACATACTGTTATTATTATAACAAGTGTGCAAAGGATGTGGAGAACTCAGAACCCCCATACACTGCTGGTGGGACTGTAAAATGGTGCTTCCACTTTGGAAAAGAGTCTGGCATTTTTTTAACAGTTAAACATGTAATTTCCATATGATGTGACAATTCCACTCCTAGGTATACACCAAAGAGAAATGAAAACACATGCCTATACACAAATATTTATAATGACATTATTAATAATAGCCAGAAAGTGGAAACAACGTAAACACCCACGAATTGGTAGATGGAAAAGTAAAATTGTATGCCCATACAACATAATATTATTTAGCAGTATAAAGAAATGAAGTGTTGATACATGCTATGACATGAATTAACCTTGAAAACATTCTAAGTAACAGAAGCCAGGTGCAAAATACCACATACTGCACAATTCCATTTAGGTGACATATCCAGAAAAGGCAAATCTATGTAAAGAAAAAGTAGACTAGTTGTTGCCTAGGGTTGAGGAGCGTGGGATGGAAGGGATTGGAAGGTAAAGGCTAAGGGATGAGGTTTTTTTATTTTAATAAAAATGTTCTAAAGTTAATCATGGTTGTGGATGCACAATTCTGTGAATATGTGAAAAGTCATTGAATTATACATTTTAAATGGGTGAATTGTAGGGTATGTGAGTGGTATCTCAATAAAGCTGCTTTTAAAAAATGTCGAGCTGGTCATTTTATTGCTCTTCAAGAATGCAGACCTATCTGTGAGCCTCTCAGATATACACAGAGCCTCCAATCAGTTCAGCTTTCAACAAGAAAAGCCAACCAAGGCTTTTGGAGAAGGCTCTCATCATGAGGACAGGCACAGTGGCTCACACCTGTAATCCCAGCACTTTAGAAGGCTGAGAGGCAGGTGAATCACTTGGGGTCAGGAGTTTGAGACCAGCCTGGCCAGCATGGTGAAACGCTGTCTCTACTAAAAATACAAAAATTAGCCAGGACTGGTGGCACGTGCCTGTAATCCCAGCTACTCTGGAGACTGAGGCGGGAGAATCACTTGAATCCAGGAGGCAGAGTTCGCAATGAGCTGAGATTGCACCACTGAACTCCAGCTTGGGTTACAAAGCAAGACTCTGTCTCAAAAGAAAAAAGAAAGAAAGAAAATATAATCATTGTAGACTATTTGTTTTAAAAATGCAATATTTTTGTAGTCTTAGCAACAAAAACATAGAGCAATGAATAGTGATTTAACACCACCAAATAAAGGAAATATAATTGCAATTGGAGGATGGGAATCTTCACATAAACATAATAGAAAATCAACTGATTGCATTAATTACTGAACAAAAGTACCAGTTTTCTATATTATTTAGTAATATAAAAGTAAATTTCAGAAGAAACAGTTAAAAGAATTGAAAGTTTCTATCCAGAGGGGAATCGGAGGAGTGGAGAAGGGAGGAGAGGGCAAGAAACTACTTTTTAAGTATTTCTATAAGGCTTTTACCACTATGAATTTTGAAACTATTTGCATGTGATAACTTGAGTAAAAATAAAAATTATAATGAAATATATAAAGAGGAGTTAGGTGATGCACACTGACTTTCATGCCACACCAAAGCAGAATTCCAGTGGTAGATGTGGCAGGAAAGACTCCGACAGAACTCCAGTTGCTGCTACCCTATGCTATAGTAGACGCTGCAGTGACTGCCCCTTCTGAAGAATGAGACAGCTGGAGGAAGTGGTCCATCACAGGGCCAGAATGGCAAGAATACAGAATCTCCTTTTCTTTTTTTGTCTTTCTTTTTCTTTTTAAGACGGAGTCTCATTCTGTTGCCCAGAATGAGTGCAATGCTGCCATCTCGGCTCACTGCAACCTCCACCTCCCTGGTTCAAGTGATTCTCATGCCTCAGCCTCCCCTCTCATGCCTCTCATGCCTCAGCCTCCCCTCTCATGCCTCTCATGCCTCAGCATGATTCTCATGCCTCAACCTCCCCTCTCATGCCTCTCATGCCTCAGCATGATTCTCATGCCTCAGGCTATTATCAGTAGCCTGGATAATAGGCGTGCACCACCATGCCTGGCTAATTTTTTTGTATTTTTAGTAAAGATGGAGTTTTACCATTTTGGCCAGGCTGGTCTGGAACTCCTGACCTCAAGTGATCCACCTGCCTCAGCCTCCCAAAGTGCTGGAATTACAGGTGTTTTTTCTAGGCGGTGTGTGACATTCTTTCTAGGGAGATTTTTTTTTTTTTTTCATTTTTTTGAGACAGGATCTTACTCTGCTGCCCAGGCTGCAGTGCAGCGGTGCCATCATGGGTTACTGCAAACTTGACCTCCCAGGCCCAAGTGATCCTGTCTCAGCCTCCCCAGTAGCCGGGACTACAGGTCCAGGCCATCACACCTAGCTAATCTCTTCCTTAAAAGTTTTTTTGTAGAGACTCCTGTACTCAAGCAATCCTCCTGCCTTGGCTTCACAAAGTGCTGGGATTATACGCATGAGCCATTGTGCCCAGCCTCACTAGAAAGATTTAAATGTGGTTCTGTCCATAGACAATTTTAAAATTACTTCTCAGAAACTTACCAAATTTATTATGTATGTGAGTCCCTAAAATTCCTAGAAACAAATAGAAGATCCTCTGTGAGTGAAAAAGTCAAGTTTCTTCCTCCTCCTAATGACAAAACTCCAAGTAAAATCACTGTTTAGGGCAGGAACAATGGTTCACGCCTACAAACCCAGCACTTTGGGAGGCCAAGGCAGTGGATCATCTGAGGTTAGGAGTTCAAGAACAGCCTGGCCAACATGGTAAAAATCCTGTCTCTACTGAAAATGCAAAAATTAGCCAGGCATGGTGGCACGTGCCTGTAATTCCAACTACTCAGGAGGCTGAGGCAGGAGAATTGCTTGAACCCAGGAGGCAGAGGTTGCGGTGAGCCAAGATCATGCCATTGTACTCCAGCCTGGGCAACAAGAGGAGACTCCATCTAAAAAAACAAACAAACAAACACACTATTTGTTGTCATACAATATTTCTGTCCTAGTTTATATTCTAATACTTTTATTTAAGGGCATATTTTTAAACAAATATGCAAAATTTTTAATTACATAACCAATATTTATGGTTAAAAAATAAAACTGCAAACAGTTTGGAAGAATATATACTTACTAATAAAATTCATCTTCCAGATGGGCACGGTGGCTCACACCTGTAATCCCAGCACTTTGGGAGGCTGAGATGGGTGGATCACTTGTGGTCAGGAGTTCGAGACCATTCTGGTGAACATGGTGAAACCCTGTCTCTACGAAAAATACAAAAATTAGCTTAGCATGGTGGTGGGTGGCTGTAGTCCTATCTACTCGGGAGGCTGAGGCAAGAGAATCGCTTGAACTTGGGAGGGAGAGGCTGCAGTGAGCCAAGATCGTGCCATTGTACTCCAGCCTGAGTGACAAGAGCAAGACTCTGCCTCAAAATAAACAAATAAAATAAAAACAAACCGGGTGTAGTGGCGGGCACCTGTAATCCCAGCTACTTGGGAGGCTGAGGCATGAGAATCGCTTAAACCTGGCAGGCAGAGGTTGCAGTGAGCTGAGATTTCGCCATTGCACTCCAGCCTGGGCCACAGAGTGAGACTCTGTCTCAAAAAAAAAAAAAAAAATCGGGCAGGGTGCAGTGGCTCAAGCCTGTAATCCCAGCACTTTGGGAGGCCAAGGCGGGTGGATCACGAGGTCAAGAGATCGAGACCATCCTGGTCAACAAGGTGAAACCCCGTCTCTACTCAAAATACAAAAAATTAGCTGGGCATGGTGGCGCGTGCCTGTAATCCCAGCTACTCAGAAGGCTGAGGCGGGAGAATTACCTGTGAACCCAGGAGGCAGAGGTTGCGGCGAGCCGAGATCGCCCCTTTGCACTCAACCCCAACTCACATCAAATATGATTTTTAACAGGTTGGTAAGTCACTTTGCATGCCACTACATTTTGAAATGTCAAGGGGGATTGGGATGAGAAAGTTAATTGAAGAAATTGCTTTATGTGATGAAAGACTAAATACACACCAGACTGTATATGACAACAGAACTCTCTGATCCACGACCTCTGCAGCAAGCAACCCAGGAAATCAGACAACAACCACTGCTGCAATTGGCCTATGATAATCAGAACCTGGTCAATGACTTCCAGCTTCCCTAATTTGTGCCCTGTCTTTCAACTCAAGACCAATCAGAGAAAGTCAAATATTCTCCCCAAATCAACCATACAAAATGCCCTGCTTCTAGTCATCTTGCTTCCAGCTTTTCCATACCTGAAGATCTCCTTTTTTCTTCTTCTTCTAATTACAAAGCTTTCCCATTCCCCTGCCTGCCTTTGAGCCTCTGCCAAATGCAAGTGATGGTGGTTCACTCCCTCGCTATAGCAAGCTCCGTATAAATAGCCTCTGTTCTCATTCAGGTGGTCATCAGTTACTTCCATGGACAAGCAAAAGTTCCCAATAACAAACAGAAAAACTGTTTAGTCTGCCACTTTAATAAAGGCCTTGTTCATTAGGTCATTCATTCAGTTAATATGCATTATGCATCTACTATGAGCCAGGAACTAAAATAAACTATATTTCTCTGGGAAAATTTGTCTGAGAAGGAAATCACAAAGCTGAATGAAGCCTTGGGAGTTGAAAATTCAAATCTTCAGTCTTTGCTTATGGTCTGTAGCAGGCAAACAGCTTCAAACTTCTCAAGGTTCCTTGGTTAAACATGAATGAATGGATGAAGAGAACACCCCAGCAATAAAGATAATGCCCCAAAAATAATTTTACTAAGGATAATGTTTTTTATGCCACTCTTTTTATTTTTTAAAAAATTTCTCAGTACCTCTGAAGATTTCTGACACTATTGTTAAGCCACTATTTTTTAAATGATACATATAACTACTTGTCTAGGATGGTTTCTCTTTCTCTCAATTATGTTCAATTTATGAATCTAGACCACAACATTCTTCATTAATAAAGTTGGCAAACAAAGCGTCTGAAAACATTTTGTTACAGGGAATGATATTCTGCTAAGTTTTATTGAAGATGACATTTTCATTTGTACTGCTAATGAACTATTCTTATTCCTTTTGGGAACTATGATTTATTAAAAGAATTAAAGTTTTTTAAAAACACCGAAAGAATTACACTCATTCATTTTTAATATGACCAGAGTATTTGCAATAGAAAAGTTAGTGAGTGTTCCCTTAGTGAATGGTGGCTTTTAAACACTGCATAATTCTGGGTATTACCATCAGGAAAATGCTGCACTGTTCCTCATTAGAAGGATAATGCCATTATAATAGCTTTACTCTGAGGCATAAACCAGTTAAGTGAAGCACCAGAAAAGGAAAAGCGAAAGTGTGTTTGGTGAATCATTTTTGTGCTATGGTTTGGTGACTCTAAATTGAGCCAGAAAAGAATGCAGCTAGTGGCTTAATTTGAAGAATCTTCCAAGGAAATGCTGCAATTCTGTACAATTCTTATTGGTCTCTAGCCTCTGGGATCTCTGTTTACGAAGCTGTCTATTAACACAGCTTTGCAAATTAATTGTGAGCAAATCAGCAGAGAATAAAAACTCAAACATAAATCTCTGATCTAACCACTTCATTTAGGAAGGGATTAGGGAGATCTTCTTGGACCAGTGTTTTTGATTCTCTTCTTTGCATTGTGACCTTATACTGGAAACTCAGCTGTGACTACTATTGTTCAGGTCCAAAGTGCCAGGAAGTTCAGATCAGGTTGAGGACAAGCTCAGGCTAACTCTGAGGTCAGCCTATTCACATGTCTTTTTTTTTTTTTTCTTAGATGGAGTCTCGCTCTGTCCCCCAGGCTGGAGTGCAGTGCCGTGATCTTGGCTTACTGCAACCTCTGTCTGGCAGGCTCAAGCAATTCTCCCGCCTCAGCCTCCGGAGTAGCTGGGACCACAGGTGCACACCACCATGCCCGGCTAATTTTTTGTATTTTTTTTTAGTAGAGACGGGGTTTCACTGTGTTGCCCAGGCTGGTTACAATCTCCTGAGCTCAGGCAATCAGCCCGCCTCAGCCTCCCAAAGTGCTGGGATTACAGGTGTGAGTTGTCCTGCCTGGCCTCATATGTTTTTTCTAGGCTAGGAT